AATGAAAACATTCGTGCATTGATGAAAACAAGAGATCACTGGCGCAAACTTGCCCAAAGGTCAAATGATCCCTTGGCGTGGTCTGCGTACAGAAATTTTCGTGGAGAAGTTAAGCGTGAAATTAAACTAGCCGAGCGTGAATTTGTATTAAACCAGATAGAGAAAGATCCAGGTAATTCTAATAATATCTGGAAATCTATCCGCTTATGCATTCCTAAAAAATCGTCTTCGCAAAGAATTTTCAGTCAAGATGAAAAAACCGTAGCAGAAGAGTTTAACAATTTCTTTGCTTCTGTCGGCAATAATGCGGTTCATAAAATCAATGATTTGGCAAACGAATTTGGGTTTGATTGCGACCGCGACCGTTTTACACCAAGACAATACCCTTTAACGGAACAATTTTCATTTAAAGAGGTCGAGCCAGCCATAGTAGGAAGTATAATATCTTCAATGCCTAACAACAAAGCACCGGGCGGTGACAAAATTCCCATTCGAGTGATTAAGGATTGCATTGTGCCCATTTTACCAGTAATAACATCAATTATTAACACTTCACTAACTACGTCAGCCTATCCTATAGTTTGGAAAATTGCCGAAGTTGCACCAATTCCAAAGGGAAAGGATCACCCGGAAGTGGCGAATAATAACAGACCAATATCATTATTACCTGTTTTATCAAAGGTTTGCGAAAGGGTTGCCTATAATCAATTTGTAGAATATCTTACGTTGAAAAAGCGGCTTTCAAGTAAGCAAAGTGGTAACAAACGTGGATTCTCGACCGAAACTTTGTTAATTAATATCACAGACTCCATACTAAATGCTATAGACCAAAAGAAAGTTACATCTCTGGTCTTATTGGATATGAGCAAAGCATTTGACTGTGTTAATCATAATCTTTTGATGTCAAAGTTACAAGATATGGGTGGTTCACAATCGTGTTTACAATGGTTCAGTAGTTATCTCTCCAACAGACAGCAGGTTGTACGAATAAACAGTACAGTATCGGATGCCTTGCCTTTGACGAACGGCGTGCCGCAGGGAAGTATCCTTGGGCCTTTACTTTTTAACATCTATGTCAACGACCTCTCAACTGCACCTCAAAACTGTGATCCACATTGCTACGTAGACGACACAGGTCTACTGCACTCCTTTAAAGCTCAGAGTAAATCTTTCGCTATAGAGAATATTAACGAGGATTTGACTAAAGTCCGAAATTGGTGTTTTAGCAATTGCCTGCTTCTGAACCCTGAAAAGACCAAGTTATTGGTGTTTGGGAGCAGACAAATGCTATCTAGACTACAAGACTTTTCCCTGACACTATTGGGAAAAGAAATAAACCCTATCGAAATGGCAAAGGACCTTGGCGTGACTCTGGATGTTAATTTAACCTACAACCACCCTATTAATAAGACCGTCTCCACGTGTATGTCCATACTGGGTCAAATTAATCGTGTGAAGCATGCCTTCGACAAACGTACTCTGATTACTATCATGAACAGTTTGGTTTTCAGCAGACTTTATTATTGTTCCAATGTATGGAGTAACACCTCAAAGTGCAACATTGAGAAACTGCAGTTAATTCAGAATTTCGCTTGCAGAATAGTTTGTGGTATAAGGAAATTTGACCATGTCACACCAGCACTAAAGGAATTGAAATGGCTGCCAGTAGCTAGCGAGTTGTATTTGAGAAACGCCACTTTGGCATTTAAATGCATGACTGGTTGTGCTCCAGATTATTTATCCGAACAATTTGTAAAGCGTGGAGACATTAGCCAGCGATCCACGAGAAGTTCACAGAAATTGAACATTCCACTATTTAAAAGTGCCACTGGCCAAAGGACTTTTTATTATAGAACTGTAAGCTTGTGGAACTCTCTGGAGTCTAAGTTTAAACTTTGTCCAAATGTTGTAAGTTTTAAGAGAAGCCTTCGAAACAAACTTCTCAGCGACTTCTTAGCTATTTAAACTTTTAAACCTTTAAACTCATTATAGTAATGTGTATGTCTATAAAATAGTAATTAGGTACTTATATTCCTGTATATATATATATATATATGTATATATTTTTATATTTATGTAAATTATTGCATTTCTTTTGTAATTATCTTTGAAAAGCTCCTCTGTGGGAAAGATAATAAATTTCTAATCAATTCTAATCATTTATAGCTATGGTTAACCATCCAGTTAAGCGTTGCATTGTTAATTACTGAGGCATAAGCAAATTACATTCAAGTATTCCTGCTGATATTTTACTACAGTCATTTACGTTACGCTATTCAAGCTAATAATCTGCTACTACAATCCTGGTCAAAAATCCTTGGCGCACTTAGTCGAAATAGCATAACCTTTACTTCATTTCTGACTACCACATACATACTTGCTCATTTTATGCAAAATTTCATGTCCAAACACCCCCTACCCCCCTTATCAATGTTGTGTAACACCTTGGACGTATAACACACTACACGCAACATTGAACGGGGGAAGGGGGGGGTTGCTATGCTTGTTATTGATGTGGGAGTCAAATTTCGCACAGTCAGTGTGAAGTGCGCCAATATTTTTGACCAGGATTGTAGGTTGAAAATGTTTATTTTGCATATTTTAATCTTACAAACTCACTTTACAAGTTTCGTATACAACGCAGTACAAATAGGCAACAGAATTATGACAAAATATTAATATGACATATACTGCAAATTACCAGCAGTTTTGGACTACTATATCTCAGTTTTATAGGTAAATTACACTTAAAGTCGTCGCTAATACAAAGTTACCATTAAATATGGTTCAAAACGCAAAAATGTGCAATTGCCGTGCACCCTGTACGTCGATGGCACAAGTTTAGTGCGCATAATTTACATTAGACTACAATCACTACTCGCGCGAAGTGATTGCGACAATCAATATCACGTATCATCTGTTTATCTAACCCTACAGGAACATACCAGAGAGCAACCCATTTTAAATCTATGAAATGCAGTTTGACCTAAAAAACAATCTAATGCTCAGTAAAGATATTCAGGCAATAAGTAGCAAATATAGGCTAAAAAACACTCACTAGTTTAAGGTCCGTGCTCAGACAATCGTGTTAATAAAATTTGTTAATAAAATTTTAATTTGCCTCTGTGAGAAATTAAACTGTAGTTTAATTCCTATAGTTTGTCTAAAACATCCCTCCCTCCCCCAACACAATGTTATGTTGTTGAACTACGTTTAAAATGAGAGGAAAATCTTGGCAACATTCAGTGGGGGAGGACCTATATGAAGTTATTTGATTGTATTTTCCTAAAATGTCGACCAATTTTATTAACACTTTTGTCCATGATTGTTGCTGTGTGCAAGATTATAGTTAGTAAGTACATGTACATTGTTATTTTCCATAACAATTCTCTAAACTGTCCTTTTGTTGTTTGGGACATCGGTTACCATTTTACAAGATTGCAGTACAGTGTATGGCGTTGTATCGAAACTTTGAGTGTCCAAGATTTGGAAAGTGTATAAAAGTAATTCTCCCGCATAATGCAGGCAAAGAGGTCCTTGACTAGCGATACAGTTTGTCATCTTATTAACATTGTTTCCATTTGGGCAAAACCACACACAATCCAGTAGAGATTTTTCGTACTATATTATTTTAATACATACATTCTGAAATCGATTAGACTCTGATTAGATAATGATTAAAGGATTACACAATATCAAAGATCCAAAATATAAAATACAATTTGTAATACCTGAAGAGTGAATCTCTATGGACTGAATAACTCTTAGACTTGTCTTTACAGCTCACTGTCTCGTACAGTGTCTCAACAATACTGACTTCCTATTCATTAACGTCTTATGTAACAGCCATGCACTAAAATAACTTGTCAATACTTAACCACTAATTCAATCACTTAGCATGCAAATCAAATAGAATCATTTAGCAATCTGGATGACCGAATTTTAAAAAAATTTAAAAATAAATTTCGTTTTGCCTCTATTTTGAACTCTCCTTCCCATTGTGAAATATTTGTTTCAGTCAAATTAGATTACTCAAATTTGTATACGCGACATCGGGAAAAATTTCAAACATATGGATATTTTCAGTTCTAGGTTGAAAGTTAAAAATGCCCATGGCAAAGTTTTAGATTTTAATGTGCTGCATTTTGTCAGAACAACACACTTGCAAGACAATCTTACCTACATTCATTAGTATGGAAAACAACTTAACAGCTAGAATAAGTCAATAATCATGCATTACATATTAATGGATCAGATTCATTGATCAAATCTAAACTTGTACAATGTACAAAACTAGACTTGTGATACCTTCTACTCAAAGCGATTTTCTCCGACAACACAAATTGTTTTTGTGTGGTCATGCTGTGTCATAACAAACAGTGTGGTGTATCATTAACTGTGCACACAACTGGAATTGAATTATATTCTTTACTCATGAACTTCAAACACAATTCTCTGCTATTCAGTGGTCTTCGATATATAATTGACCTCTTTGCTACAGTGATGCATGTTCCTCAAATCGTTTGTATATGTTACTGAACTGTTAACATTGGCAAGTCTAAACAACAAATGAAAGAACTTTGCTTCATATGGTTACAAAAAAGGTTTGCATGAATTTTTTATCTCCTGACTGTATAATTATCTGTTACAATGGTAATCACATGATAAAATTAGTTAAATTTTCTTGGAAGGGAGGGTTGGGGCGTTCACCTAAGATCTTTCGACTCTGGTATCAACCGTGGCAGCTGAAGTGACAAGGCAAATGGCTATGATGCTTTCAGCGCAAGTTCCCAGTCCAGTGCCAACCTCTAGCAGTACAATGGCGAATGCAGCGGTCCATTCGGAATTCAATCATTTGGTAACAGGGGCAATAGCTGCAGCTCATGGTGGCATCTTGTATGAGCTACAGCTATTGCCTACTATTATTTCTCCTAGTACTGCAAGTTCTGTCAAACCTACTCAATTGTTTCACTCAGTCAGTTTGGCTATTGACTTGCAGGTTAAATAGTAAAATGATATTGTCATTCAGAAAATGAAACTTGCCATTTGAGAACTAATTTTCATATAAAACTTGCTTGTCTGTCTTGGGCTTTATACATACTGACAGTCTGTCAGTAGTCAGTACTCAAAAGCATTATGTTTATAATTTATATACAGGGGTGAATTACTGTATTAGTGCATTAAAGTAAATGTATTTAACTGTCTATTGATGTAACATAACACAAAAAATAACATTACTGTATAAACATAGCTCTTATCATTTGAAGTGTTTCTAAGTCAGACAATAGGGGCAACTTGTCTGTTGCGATGCATGTACTCATGGACATAGTATCAAAATTTGGACTGACTTCTGAATACGAAAACGGCTGCATGTCATTTCCTGCACAGATTCCACTACAATACTCTATAGGTGTATGTGCAAAAGTAAATCCTTGATTTCCCGGATACATAAACAGTAACAACTGGAGAACATGCTGACGAAACCAATGGCATTGGTTTGATGGTTGCATGGCAATAGGCAACTGAAAAGAGATGTGTAGAGTACGGTACCACTGTGCATTTACAACTCCAACGGATACTGGGCCATGTATAAAAGAGTGTTCTGCCATCTTGTATTTACTTTAAATAATATATTTTGTATCTTACACTGAGCTCGTTTATCTTATGTTCCAGCACACTACTACATAGTGGCAGCGGTGAAAATATAGTAAAATGGCAGACAATACAACAGGGGAATATGTCCCAAGCATCAAATATCCCGATTCCTGAGAAATTTGATGGTGGAAATGGCCCAAAACAAGGCGACTTGTGGTTGGAGTGGGTGCACCAGTTTGAACCCTACAGAATTGCCTTCGGCCTTACTAATAAAACAGATGCCAAACAAGTGTCTATACTAATGTATATATGTGATGGGTGAATGCACTGATGATATCTTGAAAACACTAAAAATCGTAGAGGACAAAGATTTGTACGAGGAAGTCAATATAACAAACTTGATAACGTTTACTTATGGAAAGTTTTGCTCTGTTCTTTGATTATTCTTCCCAGGTAAGATGTGTAATTTATTTCACGTTATTGATAGTGCGATTTAAGAACAGTAATGTTACACTAATTATGTGATATGTTTTGTCAATCTCAAGTTAGTGCAACACTGTCTATTGCCTTCTGTCTCCATGTTTTTGAGTGTTATTTATATACATGTGCCCCAATGTTTTTGGGGTGTTTTCCATGTTTTTGGAAATTCAATGAATTGTACTAAGTGGGGCAGCCGGTTTATCAATGCTTCAAGGGAAAATGACCTGGAAGTGGCTAAGCCGAGCCAACGATAACAAGTTCCCTGATGAAAATATTGACTGCTGTCTGGAACTCTTAGATTTCAGGAGTCTAGTGGACCTGTATTGTTTGAAATTTTTCGACCAGAGTGGTGTCGAATTGCAGGACTGCAATAAACGTTATGGACACTGAGTTGTAAAACACCATGCGTTGAAGTTGGAAAATATCCACACTCTCAAAATATAACCTAATACCATCGATGGTTCAGCAAATATGTTCCATTTTCTCAATTTCTTTGATGAAGTG